CCTATCTTTGTTTTGTACTTCCGTTTGTATTTTCACCAATTTATTACCGTCATACCCCTTTTCTTCAAATTTTTTTACTAGGAGTTCTGATTGGGCATGGAAGTCTTCTTCCCTTGTGCAATTTCGCTTTAATCTAGTAAGTTGGCCCTTGGGGATTCCTTTAAGCCAAGTCGGATGGTGGCAACTAAAAACCGGAATAAATCCATTCCTGTCCGTTGGCTTGAAAAAAGTTTTTGTAATAAGGTGGTCTCCATGTATGGATATTTCCAAGTCCAGAAATTGGGTGGTGGTGGTGCTGATATTATAAGTGAAGGAGAGGTTATATTCGTTATGGTTAAGGGACTCTAAGTATGTTTGGAGAGAATCTACCTCTCCTTCCCAAAAAACCACAGTCATCTATAAAGCGTTTCCACAATATGTTTTTAATCCCTTTCCCAAACACACAGTTTTCTTCCCACATGGACGAAGAAAAACTTGTACAACTAATTCTAAGAAGAAAGAAACCTAAGCTAAATCAAGTAGAATTAAAGATACAGGAACTGAAAACTAAAATAGATTTACACAAGGAAACGGTATGTTTTAAAAACAATTTATTAGAATTGTGTTATAACCTAGATTCTGGAGGAAAAGGCCGTGTATTTGTTTTATCCACGGAAAGGTTTCTGATATCACATTTATGAACACTCTGTTCCTTCTGTGTGCCATGCATTCCATTCTTCGACTCCACTTTATTTTGGAGGCAAAGACAGTTTCTCAATTGCCCTATTGTGCAAGAGAACAGAGTCTCCACTTTCAGGCTTTGTAACAAGAAAAACAGAAAGAAGCGCATTACGTGTATCATGAAAGTAACACAATCCATAGGGAAAGACCGCTTACTGTCTCAACTGTTCCCGATACTAGCAGGACATTAAAATCAAAAGCCCCCCGCTCTCCACAATGCTAATGTAAAGGACTTACCTTTAGGCCTAGTTCACACCAAATGCAGAACAGATCTGTACGAGTTTGTGCACATGCAGTGCAGTGGGTTGTGCCACGTTTTTGATACGTTCCGGGCCGTTTTTGGTTTTAAAAAAAAATATATTTTTTTTAGTTTAAAATTGGCTTTGTGTTCCAGGGCGTTTGCATGCGTTCCAGAGCAGGTAAAATAGGGCTTGCTGCAGTTTTTTTACCTGCTCTGGAACTGCACGCTGCGATGTGAACTGGAGGCTGGACCATTGGAATACATTGGACGCAGTTTTGCTCCGGTCTGTAACTGCTCTTGGAACGCGCTTGGTATAAACAAGGCCTAAATGATCCCTCTTAATCCGATCACCTTCCCTGTAGTTTTTAGCTGTCCCTCCAGCGATGGTGCAGGTCTCCGATCCAGCGCGGAATCCTCTGTCCTCCTCTTCTGTGATGTCCCACGTAGTATGTGCGGTGCACGCTGCTCCATAGACTTACCTTGTGTCTCTCTTCGTCTCCCGGGCCGAACATCTGAAGATTGCATGTGCCCGCCCCAAGATCCTTTGTGGCCGCAAGATAAATTTTCCGATGTTTGGACAGGAGCGTGCGGCGGAGACACAGGTAAGTATTAACCCTTTGAAATAGTTTTTTTTTTATAGTTTTGCAAATATCTGCTTGCTAGCCTTATATATATGCAAAAATAAATGAGGGTTTAATAACCCTTTAAGTTGCGGCAGCCTTAAAGACTCCACACATTAGCGGTTTTCCTCGCGTTTTCATACGTGCGAAAACGCAATAAACAAAGAACAATGCATTACAATGTTGACATTAGGGCAGTGTCCGTGCTGCACGAAAACACGCACCCTGCAAAAAAGTCGGAGCACGATTTTTGGACGGACTCCACGAGTTTGCAGTTATCACTACAGCCGCAAACTCGCGGAATTGGCGCGTATGGTAAACATTGCATGTTTTTGCGACGCATGGTTTTCCATGTGGAAAACCGCAAACACCATATGTGAATGCAGCCTTAAAAGCAAAATCTTGAGGCACACTAGTCTAAAGCATTAATGTAAAAAACAAAAAAAAAGGGTGGTTTTCCCCAAAATCTATACCAAAAACACTCGTAGATAGGGGTCCAGTATGGGTTTTAAGAGGGAACAAATGTTGACATCAGGATCCCCCCTTTCACATCAATATCCCATTGTTTAATCTTCCCCACAAGATAAAAGGGCAGCATGGTAGGGAGCGGGAAGATGGGCAGGTCTGGACGAAGGTGGACTCCTGTCCTCTTCTGCATGCTCAGGGAGATCCTGGATGCAGAATTTTGTGTCCCCCCCTTTTCTTTGCTTTAGTCTATGACATGCCAAAGTCATGCAATTACACATGAGAAAATTGCTTTTGATTTCATGACACTTGTGGGGGGGGGGGAGTGAAGCATCATTTCAATGCGCTGTGAGGGTACCAACAATGTTGTCCACGTCTGTATATTTTAATAATTCTCACAGGGGTCTTAGAACTCTCCTTGATAATGCCAATAAAACGGACCTTTACCTTGATCTGAAATAGTCTTACATTTATTAAACATTTTTCATTTACTTTCAATAGTTCCCCCCCCCCCCTTCCTGGTCCTCTTGGGCATAAGTGATGTAAGAAGCTGTTCCCAAGTGTTGCATCCTGGGAAGGTTACATCAGCAGAGCATTGTTGGGAAATGCCATCTGTAATCTCAGGGAAAGGCATTTTCCTTCCCTGAGATGATGTGCATGGTCACATGTCCCAGTCACATGTGCCAGAGTTCCAGGAAACAAGAGCAGATGGATTCATCTGCCCTTAGTAAACATGGCCACTGTCAGAAGACTGGGGAAGAAAAGAGAAATAAGGAATGCAAAGAACACAAAGCCGGCAATTATCTAGAAGTATGTCATTGTAGATCGTCATTGCTAACCATTTCTAAAGGCGTCTTTGTTGTCACTTCAATGATGGGTGTAAAGTTTCTCTTTAAGTCCCTTTCTTCCCAGAAGGATGGCACCGTCTTTGTTCAGATAGAATCCAGAACCAGCAGCTACTTCCTGGACTGAGACGTGGGGTGGGAGACGACGCAATCATATAAATCCTGGATCCTTAGCAGGTCTGTACAATGCTGACATCCATGTTACAATGTTGCCGTCTGATCAACGGGGAAGAGGAGATGGGGGAAATGCTTCCTCCTGCCTGCAGCAGACTGATGCCACATCCTCACCCCAGGCAAAGTCTCCGCCCCCTCACCCAATGACCAGCCTGGGCACACGGACGGCTCTTTAATGACAGACGGCGAGGCTTTTATCTGATGTATTGTGTTGCTGCGTGTTGTGAAATGCCAAGAATGGCATTTCACAACACTTTTTCACAAAGACATTTCACAAAGACTTGTACAACTACCGACAGGACTTGCCCATGGAGTGTGCACACATGGGCGCTCATCCAGGAGAGGGTTACTAAGGAAAAGGTGAGACTGCGGCATGGACATGACCGGCATCTACGGGCTGATGGATCGGACAGTAACAACACGGCCTGCTCACACTAAAGTACTGCGGGTAAGGGCAGAGAAGAAAGAAATCCCACATGTGCCCATCTCAGAGCCATCCCGCCTCTTAACCCCTTCATGACTGAGGCCCTTTTTTCATTTTTTGCACCCATGTTATATTCCACATTATAGGCCTGAAAATGACGTAAAACCCCCCAACATTATATATTTTCTGAATGCCAAGACCCTATAGAATAAAATGGTGGTAGTTGAAAATTTTTATGTTGCGCAATATTAGCATATAGCAGGGGTGGGCAAATGTCAGCCCTCTAGCTGTGGTGAAACTACAAATCCCACCATGCATCTGTCTCTAGGATTCATAGCTGTGAGAATCTTGCAATGCAGCATGGGATTTGTAGTCCCACCACAGCTGGAGTTTGACTAACTCTGGTCTGTGGTAACGCTCTCTACAAGAAATGTATATATTTTATTACATCCCTGCTTGTAACTTCTTTCTGTACTGTAGTAAGGTTAGGGGGGGGATTGTATCCTTGGGTGAGAACGCTGCCATAGTGTAAAGCCATGAAGGTGCAGTGTTGTCACCCTAGGATACGACCCCCTTCCCCCACTACAGTACAGGCCGACATGGAGACAACGGGTCGCCGGTGCATTAAGCTTAACGCAGTTGTGAGCCTATTAGGTTTTTCCCCCAAATGTACTGACTTATTGTGGCCACATCTAGGTGCAGAGACTGGAGAGCCAGTGAAACTACAAATCCCACAATGAATCATGCAATGCATCATGGGATTTGTAGTTCCAAAACTGTGGAGGGGGGGGGGGGTGTCTGGTCAGAGTTTGCTCACCCCTGATCTATGGCAACACTCTGTATAAAGAAATTTCAAGAGAAGAACGTATAATAAATGTCAGAGCAAATTTACAAGATCAATAAATAATATCAGGATGGCAACCTCAGCACTCCAGGTGTGGGGAAACTACAAGTCCCATAAGTTATTGCAAAACTGACAACCACAGGCATGACACCTAGACGGTGGAGTATACCATGAAGATGGCTCCGCCCCCTCACCCCTGTGATCAGTATATGGTGGGGTATATAAGAAAGATGCCTCCAGGCTCCGCCCCCTCACCCTATGACCAGTATATGGTGGGGTATATAATAAAGATGTCTCCAGGCTCCGTCCCCTCACCTCTTGGATCAGTTTATAGTAGAGTATATAATAAAGATGTCTACAGGCCCCGCCCCCTCACCTCTGGGATAACACACACCAGTCTTGCAGGCCCCAGGTAGGAATTGTCCCTGAACCGCACGCACTGCGGTCGTGCCTCCATCCAACACTAATAAACACGGGGCCTCTGTCTGAGCCTACACTGCGGCCTCTGCGGAGGAAATCAGATCACCCCCGGTCAGGTTTGCTAAAGGACAGGGCGCCGTAGTGCTAGGCCGCAGCCTGCGTACCTCCCTCGCTGTCCACTCATACCAGAGACCTCCCACCTCTACCGTGCCCCTAACTCTCCCCCACCGTCATTCAGGTCACAAACCTGCCCGCTCGCTCCTTTTCTCCGCTCCGTTCTCTTCTCTAACACAGGGAACGCACGTCTTCTGCTCTACACACTCGCCACACTGAAGAGGGCGGGGAATGCTTTACGTCACACACCGGCAGTGCGTAAGGTCGGGCCAGGGCAGCCACCTTGTGGTTGGCAGAGGCTCGGCGCGCTCTTAGAGAATTGCCTGGGACGCTCGGCACGCACGCAGCGTCGCCTGCCAGCCAGTGACGTCACGCCGTCCTCACAGGTCGACGCGTGTACGGTTTCAGCCCTGGGAATGTTCTGGAATGCGCACTGTGATAATGGGTGGACGGGTGGAGTGTTTTTCAGCATGTGGTAGAGGCTTTGTGTACCGGCATGGTTACTTAGAGGGTTCTGGGTGCTCTTATAGGAAGTACTGTGAGAGTAAACATTTCTTCATAGAAACACGAAGGCTGCTATTTCTCATTGCCTTATGGGAATACTGATCTGTTGCAGGAAGCTAAACTCCAGACACCAAACCTTTCATACAAATAATATTTTGATGTAAAAGTTGACAGTGACGTCATTAATATGATGTCCATAGACTGAACAGAGCTGTGGGCGGGGCTGAGGAAGCCCGGCCCACTACAGGCTGCCTGTAGCAAACTTTAAGACCCCATTCACACGTAGCGACATACCTTTTGCAGCGGATCCGCACGGCCGGGATAGCGCGACTTTCGGGCGACGGTAGCGTGACCTTCTCCGTCGGGCTCCATAGAAAAAAGGAAAAATCACGCAAAATCCACCGAAAAAAGGGTCCGGTAGAAGCGACGCGCGACATGGAGTTAAGACACCTCCATTGAATAGCATTGGCCGGCGACTTCTCGCGATATCGCGGCGGAAATCGTGCGATAATTCGCTACATGTGAACGGGGCCTTAGAGGGGGCAGGGACGAGACCAGTCACCCTGCTTAAGGAGAGCGAGCAGCAGTGACCTGTCTTTATTTATTTTAGGAGGGGACGGAGACAGGTCCAGTCACCTTGCACAAGGACAGAGAGCAGCAGTGAGCGGTCTTTATTACAGGAGGGGCGGAGACAAGACCAGTAACCCTACACAAGGACAGAGAGCAGCATTGAGCGGTCTTTATTACAGGATGGTGTGGATACAAGACCAGTCACCCTGCACAAGGAGAGAGATCAGCAGTGACTGGTTTTTATTACAGGAGGGGGTTGGGACAAGACCAGTCACCCTCCACAAGGAGAGAGCAGCAGTGAGCGGGGTTTATTACAGGAGGGGGTTGGGACAAGACCAGTCACCCTCCACAAGGAGAGAGCAGCAGTGAGCGGGGTTTATTACAGGAGGGGGTTGGGACAAGACCAGTCACCCTCCACAAGGAGAGAGCAGCAGTGAGCGGTCTTTATTCCAGGAGGGGGTGGAGACAAGACCAGTCACCCTACACAAGGAGAGATCAGCAGAGAGCGGTCTTTATTCCAGGAGGGGGGCAGAGACAAGACCAGTCACCCTACACAAGGAGAGAGAGCAGCAGTGAGCGGTGTTTATTACAGGAGGGGGTTGGGACAAGACCAGTCACCCTACACAAGGAGAGAGCAGCAGTGAGCGGTCTTTATTACGGAAAGTCTCACACTGGATTACTGCACAGATCTGGAAGAAATACAAAAGCTCCCGAAGATTCCAGGAAGAATACAGAGGACTCTTGCATATAGACAATATTTGCTAATCCCGGAGTTCAGCTTTCACTACCTTCAGAGTCACTGACCTGGAAGTACTAAACAAGGTTACAGATCAGCAGTTTGTTCCCAGGTCTTGCCTAAGGGCCTGTTCACATGAGATCAGGTCCTGATCAGCAGACGTGGAGCTGCTGATGCAGTGCGTTTTTGATGCGTTTTCGGTCCGGATGCTGACAGTTAATTTTTTGTCAACGTTGATGACATCATAATAAATGAAGCAAGAATACAATTTTTTCTTTTTTTCCCCCTTAGCTGCTTTGCGTTGCGTTTCCGTTGCGTTTCGTGCACGTTCGTTGCGTTTCTGGACCGGACAAAATGTGACATGCAGTATTTTTTCTGTCGTAAGCTGAACGGATTGCGCACGTGAGAACTGGAGCCCATAAAACACATTGGGATGCATTTTGAGTGCAGCAGCGTACGGAGCCGGTCAGCACACAAGAAGGACGTCGTGTGAACAGGCCCTTAGTATTGACACCAGAGGGTCAGCATGACAGCCAAGCAATTAGCATGTTCGCAGTAAGTCGGCCTGGTAGCCGTGCTTCCTTTTTGGCCATGTCCATGTGCAAACCTTCCAACAGGCCTGGTTCTGCTAGATGCCCCTGTGATTTGAACATGATACAGGCACATGCGTGTCAATAGGGCCTTAAAGGAGAAGTGCGGGGTGAGTAAAATATACTCTCCCCGCTGCTTAGAGCCGACGGGGGACATTGCAGCTGTCACATGCCGGCTATATATACACCAAGAGCTGAGTGATAATGTAACCGCTCATGGCTCAGCTAACGGTCTTCTCCCTGCAGAGAGCTGTGACTGTCACAGGGATTCATCCTCCCCTTTCTGTTCCCCCAGCACTCATTGGAGGGACAGACGGGAAGGGGCGGGCACAGCTGGCTCTAAAGAGAGCTGTCAATCAGTCAGCGGGGTGGATCCCGACAATATTCTCAGGATTCTCCCTGGCTGTAGGCCGCTCTATGCTGAGTTTGGGTCATAGGAGGATACACTTAAGGCAAATACACGTTTGGCTTTACTTCTCTTTTAGGGCAGGCACCATTTTCCGGACCAGATCTGGAACGCAGTGCATTGCGTTTTGCCACGTTTGGAAACGTTTTTTTTAATTACAGTATTAAAAAAATTTTTTTTCTGCACGGGCAGAAAAAACCCGTCCAATGCAAAGAGCCGTTACCGGCGGCTCTATAGCCTGCCTATCGTGTGTATGTGCTGGCTGCGTGCCCCTCCCTCGACTTCTGCCGCTGCCACCCCCTCCTGACCCCTCACCTTCAATCCTGGGATCCGCTGCCCCATCTGCGGCCCGGGACTGGCTCGGGAGGGCGTCAGGAGGAGAAGGGAGGGAGGTCGGCTCCTTGCTGACCTCCCTCCCTGCTGTGAATGCAGAAGTGATGTGTAAATACATCACTTCCGCATTCACCTGTCAGTCATCTGGCTGCTATAGCCAGAGAAAAGAAACTGATGAAGCAGATCTCTGCTTCATCAGCTTCTTTTGGGGTCCCCAGGTGACATTAGGGGTCCTAGAGACCCCTAATGTCTCCATAAAAAGGACCTGTCAGTGTACATGTGCTATTACATAGGGGGATTGTTATCCCCCTATGTAATAGCAATAACAATAAGTGTAAAAAAATATATATTTAAATAAAAAAAGTAAAAGTCATATAAAAAAAGTTTAAAAAAAAAACCAAAATGTTTAAGTCCCCCACCCCCACGTTTACGCACATATAAACGTAAATGTGCGTCAGATGCGATAGCGCGCGAAAATGACAATTGCGCTACACACGTTACATATTTCCATGTCAACATGTGCTGCTCTATGGTAACCTTTGCTCGGCTAAGATGTCTCCTCTGAGTTTTGGATGCTCCTTGGTATCTTGAGGTTGCAAGTCAAAGTAGACCTTTTGAGGGCTCACCCATGCTAGCACATCCACTGACCGCTCCTTGAGTAGCTTCTCACTGCCCCTTTTATGTCCAAATGCCATGCCATTATAAACAGGAAAAACTCTGGAACTTGTTGACTTGCTTTTTGTCAATTTGAGGTTTTATTTCAGCACAAGAAACCAAGCAAGCAAGTAATTTTCTAGTCTTAGAAAAAGTTAAAACTCTTGATTTGTTTTCCCAAGAAATATGGCCCTTTTTAACATATTTACATGATGTTAGAGTTTAAGGTTATATAGGCTTCTGCATGCCTATCTGTAAATAACCCTGCCTCTTACTATCTAAAGCAGTAGGAAAAAGGGATGCTCCGATACTGATACTAATATTGGTGACAATACCAAATGCTCCGATACTTACCCCTGATACTGGAAATCTCCCTGTGACTGGCAGTGCCATGAGGGAACATGGAGCCGGCTTCCCGGCCAATCAGGAAGCCGGGTGGCGGGTAATGACTTGCCGCCCGGTTTCCTGATTGGCTTCCCGGCCAATCAGCATTGAGCTGGTCAAGCAGCCGGCTCGATGCTGATTGGATGGCTCAATGCTGATTGGCTGGGAAGCCGGCTTCCGCCAATCAGCATGGGGTCGGCTTCTCGGGCAATCAAGAAGACGGACGGCGGGAAATGACACAAAGCCCGGCTTCCTGATTGATCGGAAAGCCAGCTGTATGCTAGCAGAAGTACCAGTATCGGTACTCATTATTGGCGAGTACCGAAAGATAAATATTGGTACTCGTAGTCGATACTGAAAAACCGGTATAGGTGCATCCGTAGTAAGAAAGGCTGAACAAAGATTAGTATCCTGCTGTAATAATTCATCGTCCTAACACTGATACTGTTAACATGTTATTTTGCATTATTTTGCATGTTCATCATTTGCGTGCCTTTAGCAGTGACAGCTGGTTAGGCTTTTCTTCTAGTACATGCTAATTAATTTTTGAGAGCTAGGCCAAATATTTTTAACTATGAACGTGTTTTCTTTCTTAAGTTTCTTTGTGCAATATTGGAGGAGCATGAAGCCAGCTACTGTATACCTCATTTGGAAAGTAGTTATGTTCCTGGTATATCTACAATTGTTCACTCACAAAGCACTCTAAAAGTGTTCAATGGAGAGGAAACCTCTTATGAGATAAATATGGAAGCTTCCATTGCTGATGTCATTCCGCAAATGCTAGTTTGCTAGCTGTCAATATGAACCTAGAGCTTCTTTACCATTAAAGTAACTGACCGCTGTCTTGGGCTGGAGGATTTCAAGCATCTATTAGTCATCTCAGGAACATGGCAGTGGCCCTGAATTACTTAAAGACTGGCATATTGCCCATTCATGGCAAAGTAACAGTCCTACACATAGTCCACTCCCTCCCAGTCAGTTATACATATAGAGCCATGCTTTCACATCACATCCCCACATCTTCAGAGCCCTAGCTAGTGGTGCAAGGCTTCCAGGTATGAGGGAGGAT